CCCCCCCCCTCTCCTTTAGCCCCCTACTCTGGGCTCCTGACTCTTTCTGTAGCCTTTCTACTGCTATTCCTTAGCTCCTTCTTACTGCTGTCTTTTAGCCACACCCCTGATCATAGGGTAATTAAGATCTGCACCTAGCCTTCTGAGATTCAGGCGAACAATTTTGGAGGTCCCCTATGCAAGCTGCGCACGTTAAAGATCTCTTGGTGGTCCTAACACTGATAAGAGTAGGTTTCGGCTACCACCCGCGAAAAATTAAAATTTCTTACTAAACTGAAAAATGTTGCATGTGTCCTGCGCGCTCATATGACGTTATGCAGTTGCGAGCGCCGTAAACACGTACAAAAAATGATTTTAAAAAATAGAAGCCCAACGTCTCAGTGTCATGAACTGTCTCTCTCTTCAGGACCTACAGAAGCTCAGCGCTAGACTTCCCCACGGGAACAAACCGGTGGATGAACTGCCCTGTAAGTTAGCCTGTGCTCAGTTTGTGGTATTGCTTTGGTTTGTCTTCACGGCAGTGGGAAAAAGGGCACGAGTCAACAACTTCTGGGCTACATACATTCATTATCATCATTGCCTTTCTCTCCCTGCATCAGGGTATAGGCCACGGACAAACACTTTCTCACCCTGCACCAGGGTATAGGCCACGAACAAACACTTTCTCACCCTGCATCAGGGTATAGGCCACGAACAAACACTTTCTCACTCTGCACCAGGGTATAGGCCACGAACAAACACTTTCTCACCCTGCATCAGGGTATAGGCCACGAACAAACACTTTCTCTACCCTGCACCAGGATATAGGCCACGGACAAACACTTTCTCACCCTGCACCAGGGTATAGGCCACGAACAAACACTTTCTCACCCTGCACCAGGATATAGGCCACGGACAAACACTTTCCACCTTTCTCTATCGTTGGATAGCCTCTTGATGTTATTCCATGTCTTCCCACTTTTCTGTACATCAATTTTTGTGATTCTTCTCCAGATTCCACGCGGTCGTCCCCTTGATCTTTTACCCTGTGGGTTCCTATCCAACACTTTCTTTGATATGCAGCTGCCTGACGTTAGATACCATAGCCACAAAGAAATGATCACAATCTACGTCCGCTCCCCATGTAGTTCCTGAGTACTTTCTCGGTCCAAACGTTCTCTCTCCCCCTCTTTCTAATTCTCTTTCTGTCTCTCTCTCTCTCTCTTTGTCTCTCTCTCTCAGTCTCTCCCCCCCCCTCTCTCTCTCTCTGTCTGGCTCTCTCTCTCTCTCTCTCTCTCTCTCTCTCACTCTCA